ATATATAATATATATTCTTTTATTGTGATCAAAGATTCAGAGTCCTTGATCTATTTTGTAGTACATTTCCGTCCATTAGGAAAATCTGTATGAATGAATATACCTTTCAAAACTTGTGAAAAGGTGTCAAATTATTGATCAAGACACGATGTTAGAGGATGAGTTTTTATGATGTTCTGGGCAGATATGAAGTGATTTTTAACATGTGTTGGAGGTACTCTGCAAAGGTATTTGGTGATAAATATATAATGGACATATTGTGCTTGTTTTCCAAATCAATACCAAAGAGGATTTATTTTGTTTTTTAAGAACACTGAATTAGGATAGTATATTATATCCGTACATGTGTTGCCCCATAGTGTTTGGTATTCAGAGGACAGAAGGAGTCATTTTTCATGTCAACAAATTTGCATTTTTGAATGATTAAAGAATCTTGAGCACTCCGGATTTTACATATAAATAGTCTCGGTCATTTATATGTTTGAGGGACATCTGAAATAACACAGCACAATCTGGGGACCTCTACTCATGTTGATTACCGGGATTCAATTTACAGGACTGCCACAATTGTAATGATGTCATTACTGTCTGGAGTGTGAACGCACATATAAAGACTCGATTTAGAGGACTCTGCGTTGGTGTGAAAGTGAATTTTAACATTACTGATAAGGTCTGACATGACTGCTGAAGGTAAAGCTGATGTTTTTAGGCGGGGCGATTGTCATTGTATTGTGTAAGGTCAGACTGTAATCTTGGGCCCCCGGGGGCCTAGACCGACCAGCAGCCACACGCAGGACTTGATTGACTTTTCTGGACATTAAATGTGTGTATTGCCAGCTACAGTGGTCAGGATATTTTTACTTTATTTGCACTGTCATAGATACCAGCCCCTTTCTTATCTTGTAATGCTTTGCATTTGTACAAGGAATGTCGACCATTTTTTGGGCATCAGTGATTACATAGTCACCGTCTTACAAATTGGACGGGAATATTTTGGATAACTTTTTTGGATTGTGGATTTTTGGAAGTTCTTTTTTCTTGAGTTAACAATGACAAGTTTGAGGTCACCTGGTCATAAAGCTGGACTTCCGGCCTGGTATAACGGATACATTCACCAGTTTAGGACCACATCCCTTCCACGGACCAAGAAAGAGCGAGAACAGCTATTCTCTATCACTATTGATGATGAAGGTAATCTCTATTGTGGAATTCAATATTTTAGGATTTTAAGTCTTCAGGCATTAAGCATTTTTATGTGTTTATATGTTTGATTTTGTGTTTAAAATGTTTTCACAGGTGTTTGTGGTATGTATCAGAAAATGTGTGAGGTATGATTCTTATTGGATGAAAACAATTCTTTTGAATTTGATACATCATTGTTGAGATCTGGAAAATGAGTTGGGGACTCCAAAACAAAAGCTTTTTGCCTGCAATTTCATGTTAAAATTGCGGCCTTTACAGAAGGCATAATCTAGTCAAAGACATAAACGGGAGCTCTTTGGTCATGATTGACAACATTTTGTTTGTCAGAAGCAAACATTGCAGATCGTTGCACTATTGCACATGCTATGGAATCGTATGTAATAGTATTGAACAATAGTGCTGAAAATCACAGATTATTAAGGACATTGACAAATAATGAAATGAATGCAAATTGCCGGGTATAAAGCATATGTATTGTTGGTGGAGTTTTTTGTCCTAATTGCTTGAAAATAAATGAAGGAAATTGGTGTGTTATCCTCATTTTAAGGAAAAGGCCTTGTAGTAATTCATGTGAAAGGTCTGCAAGTCTGCAATAATATACAAGTTTTCAGAAACAATTGTGTCCTCAAAGCAATTGTTTTCAGTTTCCCACAGTACATATTTCTACATTGACTTTCATTTCCCTAGTGGTGTACATACTAAGTTAGCTGCAGGGAGAGATTTTAATTAAGAACCACTCAATTGTAAGTAATTTACTAAAAGCAATATGGTTTGTTTCTACATGTACTCAATAGATGAAAAGGCAAGATGAAACAAAAGGTATATAGTGAAGTCAATTGGAAGTATATTAATGTTAGAGGGCCATGCCCAGCTACTACATTAAATCAAGATTAAGAGCTATGATAGGTTGCCTGTACATCCTTGCATATATATCATGACAGAAATAATATATATGAAACAAAAGTTAAGTCAGAGGTGCTATGAAAAATGATGGGTGTTAAAGATGCATTTTTCAGAAATTGTAATACATGATTGTACATTTACTGTTTGCTGGAACATCTTCATCCTTTGTTTTATTTTTGACCAGGCCACTGGAATAGCTCATAAATTTTAATGCTTGTTAATTTAACAAGCAAACTATTTGTACGTTTGTCTAAACAGTTGTGAAACATATTAGGTGGGCTCTGATAAATTATGGGACAACACTTTTCTCATAAAATATAGTAAATGTAGGGCCAGCATTTTTTTATTTTTAGGTTTACGAACATCAGAATGAAAAAGTCCCGTAGGAGGAGGAAATAAAAAAAAAATTAAAATTATATTTTGGATACATTATCGACTTTTCTACATTAGTTTTTGCTTCTTTTTTTACGCTCTCCTAACAGGCTTCTTGCCACTGGACACATAAGGGTTACAAAGGGGAAATACAACCTTTAATTGTTTATTTCATCATCTACCACTTGGGGGCAGTGATATAAATCTTTTGATGTTGGACAAAATACAGATTTTTTTTTTTAAAAATCAATTTTTTAATTCTCTTTTAACATATCTTCATTTTTGTTTTTAATGTGTGTTAGGTAGATATTATTCTAAAATATTAATATACTTGAGACCTATAAAGTAATAATTCCTTTCATAAAACAGACAGGGAGTATGAAATTCCCAAGGAGTATTGAGGAGTAGGGTGGAATTTTTTTCAATTAAGTGTAAATAATTTTTCTGGCTGCCATAAACGATACTACATGCCTGTATATATTTGTATATTCTTGTTTTTAAATAGTTGAAATATTTTATTTCTTTAGGCTATTGTTTATTTCTTCCTCAAATGGACTTAACTTCTCCCACAGTTTTATTCACTACATCTGATGCACAAGAGAGATTTTCTGAAGAATGATGCTAAGACTGTAAGCTATGACAGAAACCTAAACAATGTCTCTGACAATAGCTACCATGGGCAGTTTTAAACCTGTGGGAGGAAAATAATTTACAACTGCACTATTTACAGACAGTTACTTTTGAATACGGATACATAATTATCTCATTAACATGTCACTTTGCAACAAAGTCGTCAGCATTTTATTGTTCTCTGAACGGATAAAACGTTTTGAATGGCACTTCTATCGATAAATATTTACATTAAACCAAGCTTTAGTGCTGCTATGGACTTGACACATATCTGCCTTCATTACCCGCCATGTTCATTTAAAACTGGAAGTACGAGTTCGTAAATTTGAAATATCGATCCCGACTCAAATTTGACATCGGAAAGAAAAAATTTTGTTTTTCTCAATTTTATTTTTTTTCTGAAAATTCAAAAACTTGAGCGGCGGGTTTGTAAACCTAAAAATAAAAAAATGCTGGCCTAGATTTGAAAAAAAAGAAAAAGAAAAGTGGAAAGTGGAGCACTGTGATATTGGCTCATGCAGTGGTCTTAGGTATAATACTAGTAACTCAGAGGTGACTGGTTCAAAACCCTGCCTGGTCACTTGCTGCTGTGTTGTATCCTTAGGCAGGGCACTTTATCTGCAATGTCTCAATTTACCCAGCTGTAATGATGAATACTGAAGGATTTGCCACCGAGGGAGGGGGTGGGTGGGTGGTAAGGTTGGGAGTTGGGATGGATTGGAGTTAACCTGCTATAGAATGATGTCCCATTCAGGAGAAGTCAATGACTCATCCAATTTTAACATCACAGAAACCTGTTGTAGGTACTGGCCTTTCAGCCATGTGGGACTTGGAGATGGATTTGAACTTTTCTTAATCATAGAAATGAGAACTGTCCTGATTGCATGATTTGGTAATGGAATTATGAATCAACCAATACTTAGCAGTGGGGGAGACTGACCCATCTGGTTATATTAATTCTCTCCATATGTTACATGATGGAATGTACTGTCTAGCAGACATTTTGCTGTCTGTGATGTAAGATACAAATGTTTTATAAAGACCCTGGTGAATTTGTATCAGGAAGGAAGACCATTTCAAATGTGATTTTTTCAAAAGATTTATTAATTGCAATAATTTGAGATTCTTGAATTGTTGAAGGGAATAAATAGAAGTTCAACTGTGTATAGGAAACTTGAGAGGTGTTTTGATGCTCTCTTAAATTCTTCTCGAAGTTCTCATTTTGGAGAGAATCTCAGGAATTCTGTTAGTGGTATAATTACTGATGGAAAGTACAATTCAGACAGAGTTGTCTGGGAGAAACAGTTGGTATTCTGGATATGTCCATCAGATGAAAACAAGCACTGAACAGACAGGTCAACTGAGTGCTGTTCAGGGCTTTTGGGAAGGTGGTAAGTACTGCAGAGGCTGTTCAAGTGTTAGGGGAAACTGGTAAGCATGTAAAAGTATCATTTGTACATTCATCTTGTGATGTTTTAGGTGCAAAATCTATGAATGCTATGTATACCAGAGGCCTTGAAATGAAAGATTAGTATATGTGTATAATCACTACTATGATGATTGAAGACTATAATATTATAATAATAGTATATTTAGGATAAAGCTGAATTTGAATAAAGCTATATTCTAATGTCTTCATTGTAGATATTAATTCAAATTCTAATAAAGAAGCTTTTTTAAGAAATATATTTCCTTTCATATTTATTACTGTTTGATTTATCAATATCTGTAGATATGTTTAAAGAGATTAATGTCTCCCTCAACATACATTTGAAGTAATACATCATATTGAACTATAATACACAATTTTTAAAATCTATAAAGAGGAAAAAGTTCGGGTAAATTCTAGAGGAAGGATCAATGTCCTAATGTAATGTTTCTTTTTCTTGCAGAAGAGACTGAGACTGGTCAAAAGACGACAACGACAACAAAAACGTAAGTACATTATGAATTGGAGATTACAAATATAAATACCGGGGTATTTGTTATACCATCCTACAAATATTTGTTATGTCCTACAAATATAGTTCATATCACATGTATATATTAGATCTATAGTTTAGTCTTTGAAGATTGCTTGGAGCTCGTCACTCAGTTTTCTAGATTTTTCAGACAGTGGAAGATATGTATAGCTATCAAGAAATTTTATTTCAATGCTATGAATATATATCGATCGAGGGTTTGAACATTTATTTTAAGGGTTATTTGAGTTTGAAGGAAGAGCTAAGAACATGGTTTTTCTACATTGTTTTAAAGTTGTTCAGACTGTCTTAGTCTAGGTTAGAGTACTCTTTACAGTATGTAAAACATGCTTTCAACAAACAAAATTATAATGAATTGACACTTAAGTAGCAAAGTGATTTTCATTTGCTGTGGCCTTAAAATATATCTTTATATGCATAAGGTATCATGATTATATATAATGAGACAAAATTGTCCAACCCTTGCACTTTGTTATAAGTGGTTTTACGGCATTGGCCACACAAACTCTCATATTTATAGTATAAATGATTCATGCAGTTTGTGACAAAATCTACAAAGTAAACGTGTACATCAGTCATAGATTTTTTTTTTTTACTTGTGTGATGAAACCAGGTGCGTAAATAAGTACCAATCAAATACTCACATTTACATCTTGTAATTACTAGATTATGCAAACTGTACTCAAAAAAATTGTCACCAAATATTCTTGGTACTGTGTATTGTATAAAGTGTTTTCTGTGGCTCTAGAATGTGGGATATGATAATTATTTTGTTTTTATCCACTAGATGGCAAATTATTCTGATGCATATAACTAGGGAGATAACTTTTGTGAAGATGGAGGATTTGCCATATATATTCTGAAATTATACCTACATTTGTCATTTTATATCATTCACAAATTGCAATGTACATGTATTTTAAAAACACATATTAATTTAAGAATAAATTAAATGCCATACAGAAGATAATTTATTTCTAATTCTTGTTTATAATAATGAATCAGTGTTTTCAAAAAAGAGAAAATTGGAAAAGATAAAAGCTTGGCGAAAACACATGATATTAGTGGGATAGGTGAATTGAAAATGCAAATATTGTACGACTCGAACTATTTGCACAAGTTGACGAGTGTTATCTGCAGCATTATCAGTACATAGGTGATCATTTTACTATCAGAATGTGGTACAAGAGGGATAACTCTTACATGTCTATTTCTTTCTTTACAGGACAACAGTTGTCCAGAATGGTGACATTAGTAATGGTCCACAAGAGGTGAGTGTCACATTCAAATGTCGTTTAAAGGTCACATATTACTATGTATGTGTTGAATAGTTGGATAAAAGGAAATTATATTTAATTTGGGGGAGTGAGAGAACTTGTCGATACTCTTTACAAAGCTGTATACAAAAGGTCTGAGACTGCAGAAATCATACTTAATGGGAGAGAATTATGTTTAAAATCACATTTAAGTAAATCAGTCTCAGTTTATGGTGCTTCAGATACAGTCAAACTTTGATAATTTGTACTGCATTGATATATCAAAAACATGGTTTGTCATGAAATTGAATCAAAACATTTGATATCTTGAACAATTTTAATCTAATATCTTAAGTTTTGACATACTTGCCCTCTTTTAAGTAATTGAATAATTTTTATTTCTAATTAATATCAAAACATTGAAATCTCAGCATCAACATAATCAACCATAAACTTAAATATTCCCCAATATTTAAATTCATCTTGTATGTTTTTCATCCTTTTGTATATCTGGATTGTCCCCCTTATTTCAGGTTGAGGAGGACACTAAGGCCAGAAAGCCCACAGTACAGGAGGAGATTATGTCGGTGGAGGGAGGGGTGTATGAGAACGAACCTGTCCATGAGCCCGGAGTCGTCAGGGAGAGTGACCCCAAAAACATAGGGGAAGAACTACCAGAGGTGGGCACTGCCAAGAACATGCTTCAGAGGTTCACCCAGATCCAGGAGGAGTCCAAGAAACCTGTGGTCGGGAAAAGGCAGGCTACCCCACCCAGGGGCTCTGGTCCCATGGAGTATGTCAGCGAACCGAGGGCCATTATTGAAAAACCTGAGCAGAAGATCGAAGGAGGAATTTTCGAGAATCAACCTGTCTCTGAGGAAGGGGTTGTGAAGTCGTACGACACCATGGAAGACGTCAAACCCGAGCAGGGTTATGCTAGAAATGTGTTGGCCAAGTTCAAGGAAATAGAAACTCAAGTGAAGAATCGTCCTCCTCCGTCACCAAAGAAGGAGCTGACTCCAGACCGATTTACCAAGGGAGAGTATGTCAGCGAACCTAGATCCACTTTCCAGACGTATGAAGGAAAAACTGAGTCTGGCATTTTCGAAAGTCAACCTAAAGAAGAGAAAGATGTCATCAAGTCGTATGAACATGAACAGGAGGTTCTACCAGAGCAAGGCACAGCCAGGAACTTAGTTTCGAGATTCAAAGAGTATGAATCCAAAAGTAAATCCCCCTCTACACCAAGAGAGAAGAAAGAGTTGACACCTGACAGATTCACTAAGGGAGAATATGTGTCTGAGCCAAGAGCAACCTTTCAGCAGTATGAAGGGCAAGTGGAGGCTGGTGTTTATGAAAGTAAACCAGTGGAATGTCCAGAAATTGTCAAATCTGGGGAATATTACGAGGAACCTTTACCAGAGCAAGGCTACGCAAAGAATGTTATTTCCAAGTTTAAGGACATTCAAAAAGGTTCAGGATCACCCAGCAGTTCTCCAGCAAACAAACCAAGGGAAATAACTCCACCTAGACAAGACACATTCTCTGGTGTTTTGGAAAATAAACCCCAGGAAAGGTCTGATATTGTCCACTCATACGATGTCCACGAAGAAGATATGCCTGAATCAGGAACCACTCGAAATCTGTTGAACAAATTTAGGGAAATCCAGCATTCAGGGTCCAACTCCCCAGCTTCACCAAGATTAAAGAAGGAATTCACTCCCCCACCCCAGTCAGGCATTTATGAAAACACCCCTCAGAAACATTTGGAGGTAGAGCAGAGAATGGCAGAAAGTGGAATTTTAGAAAACAACCCAGACAGGAGAGAGGGAGTGGCCAGAGAGGAGGAACCATCTGCTGGGGCAGTCGAATTCCCAGAAAGAGGCTACGCAAAGAATATGGTGTCCAAATGGAAACAGCTTGAAACTGAGCATAGCAAATCAGCTTCTCCCTCACCGAGATACAAGGAATTCACCCCTCCAAGGGAGGAACCCAGAATCAAGAGCCCCCTGAGTCCCAAATCCCCCGCCGGAACCAACAGCAGTGTTCATCCCCGGGATCTACCAGGTCAGTATCAAGAACAAGGGGGTCCAGGAATCTACGAGAACCAGCCAACGCACCGTGAAGACATTGCCAGAGAGGAGGAGACCGATTGGAGCGAGGGTCTACCCAAGGAGGGCACCAGCAAATCCCTCATCAATAAGTTCCGATCCGTGCAGGAGGAGGCAAAGAAGTCCCAGGAAGTGCCTAAGCCCGTCTCCAGGAGGGTGAGTAATGCATGCTGGGAAATAGTTCCCATGGTCCCCCCTCATACTTCCTTTGTGTATAAGGTATTTATCATCAATAATCAGATACACCAGCTGTACCTGATGATACAAGCTTCTTCTTGGCAGCAGAGTTGCCCTTTGTTTGGTATCAGAAAAATTTATCATCTTCTTATCAGTTGATAGATAAAGTGTTTAATACTCCTTTTTTTATCCTTACCCACACAGCTGCCAGAAGGAAGTGGTTGCGCTGGCTGTAATGCTTTACCAGACAACCTCCAATAACAGTTATTGCCTGATAATACACAGTTTTTGATTTGATAATTTGAAGTAGGCTATAGGTGTGTCAGTGTTTTTATATTCTGCACAAAGCAAAAGATTTTTGTGCATAAGAATGTATGCTAGATTTTTTTTTCATGCATGTTTCCATCGGCATCTTGTAGGATTCAACAGATAGTCCAAGGAGTCCGAAAAAGAAGGTGGGTTTTTCAGTGTACAAGTTGTCCCCCTTGTCACATTTTCCACTTAGCACTCTTTTCCATGCCATTGCTTTGAAGGTTACAAGCAAAGCATTTGTTTTTTTTCATTGCAGCTCTTTGAAATTTCAATGTCATTCTTGCGTATACATGTTCTTTAAAGGTTGTGGGCTCACAGTTCGAGACATTTAAAAGCACTGGAGGTGGTTTAATTATGAGTACTAACCTATCATTATTCTAACTCATCAAATCAAGATGTATGCAAGGCGAACAGCCTATTGCTTTATAAATGAGTTAATATTGAAATCAATTACTGGCTTTTAAAGAGTACCTTGTATCCTGTCTGACTTTGGTATATTATTACCAGACACATAATATGAATAGGACATTGGCCATTTACTATTAATGTTACACATCTTAAGTTTTTTGGTGATAATATCTGCCTAGGTCAGTTTATGGTCTGATCCATAAAAGTGAAATAATTAGGCCATCAAGACAAATGAAATGGTTTAGGGACAATTGTTTATAAATAGAGCCATAAACTATTGATTGTAAAAGTACTTGGAATACATATGCATGCCTGGCTAAATCCATAATCAATTTATTTGATAAAATGTTAATTTTAGGAGATAAAGGAAATAAACCAGATCAGATCATGAAAATATTTTGCAGCATAAGCAGAACCTTTATTATACTCAAAAAATGCAGCACACATGCAGTTCTCCCCTCTTAAAACTGTGAAGCACAGCTGTGTGTATCAGATCAATACACAGATCATAAACAAAGCTAAAAATCCCTATTCATGGTCATATCTCTTGTATAGTAGAATAAGATGTAATCATCTTTGGCTGTAATAGAGAGATATACTTCTTACATAAAATCCCCCCATAAAACAGCTGACCTGTGCTCTGTGAAGTGTGTATAATGATTGGAGAAAATTCACCCTTGAGTGGGCCCCTGGCCGCTTTATATTATCCTGTGTGTGTCTGTGTTATGAACTAGTCATAGTGGAGTGAGGGAGTAGTGCAGGAGTGGAGTTCACTGATTCAAAATCAAAACATTTTTCTTTTATTTTCATTTAAAATGACGGAATTGTCAGCCGTACAAAAACGGCTCAAGGTAAATCTTTTCTTCGTTTAAACAGAAGTTTTTTAGCCATGTTAATTTTAAATGTATACTATTTACTGGATATATAATGCTCCATGTGATTATGATTGAAATTCATAGATTTCATTTGCTATTGTTTCTAATTCTGAAGTAGTTTTTAAAGTATCGATATAGCAATTTTTAAATCTCATTGAGAGAGTGGACAGATAGTTCACGGGCCATTGTTAGAAATAACACGTTTTAAGAGGGGATTGACTTTGTCTAATCCTGTTTGCTTAATGAAGACTATTACCACGCAAGTCAAATATTTTTAAATTTAGTCACAATTTTTTTAAAAGATTCCATTCTTAAAGACCTTTGTTTAAAATGTAAAACTCTTTCAATTTCATTGATGCATGAACCTAGATACTTTTCTAATATGGATGTATGACCTAGTATAAATTAATCACTGAACATGGACAAGGTTAAAACTTTATATTCTAAAGTATGATAGTTGTTAAACTATCCATAGTATGTAATTTCAGTACATTCATTTATAATGCAGTATAGTCCCAAGTGATCTTAAATTTCACAGCAGGTTTCAGTCGACAATGGGTGTAACTTCATGGAAAATTTTGAAACGACATCGTAACATTAAGCTATCAAAAGTCTATTGCCCTGAGCCAAAAAATATCTTTAATGAAACATACACCCCAAAGCATAAGATTTTATTTTATGTAAACTTGCAAACTTTAAGGCTAACAAAATATTTTGTTCAGGGGGGGAATTTTCCGACCTGGTGATGTTAAGTACAGTCTAAAAGTTCAAGTAATTTGGGCAGAATCAGCAGCAAATTAGCACAAAATAATAATGGAAATTTCAGGGGTCTAACTGATGTTCTTTTAACAAGGTGTGGATATTGGAAATCTTCTTCAGTGCAGGTTTTACATGCTTTTGTACTTTGGTCTAAATTGGGAGATGTACATGCACTTTGATCCATTATGATCAACATTCTCAATTGTGTTAAACTCCGAAAGAGGACAATGCATTTCCTGTGCAACGAATTGATTTTTAAAAATTTCTGAAAAGAAGAAGCTTTTTTTTGGAAAAAGAGGTCATATGGTTTGGAGTTAGACAATATTGATTCTGTAGTGCTTTCAGCTGACAGGACAGCTATAGCTAAGTCTATAGAGATGCTGAAGAGAATGGCTGCTGGTAGATTGATTGGGGTCTAGGCCTCTGTGATAATCAATATTGAATTACCAGGCTCAAGTTGTACAGATGGAGACCTGTTATAGTGGTGTGTATGTCTAGGTATCAGGTCCAACTGCACAGGCATACTCTAAAACCTGGCCTGGCCCCTTTGGCCTGGCCTGGCCTCTAAGTTGGCCTGGCCTCTATTTTGGCCTCTAATTTGGCTTCAAAACAAATTTTGGCCTGGCCTTAAAAGTTGGCCTGGCCTCAAATTTGGCCTCTGTAAAAATTTTTGGCCTCAATTTTGGCCTCACTCAAAAATATTTTCTTTTTCTGAATTTGATTGATTTGATTGATTTTTTATTGGTTTCATTTTTTTCACAGATTAAGCAGGTGATTAATATATTTCTGTTGATATGTAAATGTGAACATTAAAATAATTATACACTACTACCAATCTGATTTATTTTTATTGATTTTCTATTGATCTGTTGCAATTCTGAAGACTATAACACGGAGCATATAATTTTACTTTCAAAAAGACACTCTCTTAATGATTTATTAAATGTGCCTTTATTTTTTTAAATTTCCATGGTAGGAATGATGATTTTTACAGAGTAAAAAACATTTACAAAATCAGGGAGAGGGCTAAAATAGGCTGCGCCTGCTGCCCAATCCTATTCACGATAACACCAGTGAATAAGATATTGTTTAAGTAAAAAAAAAATATTTAGAAACATCACAATTAAATTATGAAGACAACAAAGAAATGCAGATGAGAAGTAATTAACTAAGAACTAAAAAGAATTTTAAATTTGCCGTTTTTAAAAGTACTACTTGTTTAATATAAGTTTTTTTTAACTGTCTTTATTTAGAATTAAAAAAATCTGTTTGATGATGTTGACTACTTTTACAAATGATAGAAAAAGAGTCAATACTATGATATGCAAGTAATTGACCACATTTTATATGATAGGGTTCTAATGGTGAATAGGATGCAGTTGTTTTACAGCACAAATGTTAATAACCTATCATCAAACTCAACTTTTGTTTTGATAATTGTAGGTAGTGAAAGTTGTAGCAGGAAATTCTTTATAAAAACAGCCTATGCACATATACATGTCATTACTGATTAACTTCAACCTTTAAACTCCCTGTCAAGAACCGTGCTGCAGAATTTTTTGTCATTTGATATCCAATTACAGTGTTACGGCACACCAGGAACAGAAAGTTATAAATTACCTGATAATGTTATTTATCTCAATTTATTTTAAATACCAACTGTTCTTAGATTAAAGTGAACATGAATTTTTAACAGAGTAATGAAATAAGTGTAAAATAAATATTTTGGTATCTGTCTTGGTATATTTATTTGAAAAAAAAATCTTAGGTGCCTGTATTCATATATCACACAGATGATGCAGGCATAACAGTAACACAACACTCCACAGTGTGTGAAAGATGATGATTCTTCTACTTATCAAGTGGGAATTTTTCAAAGCTATTAATGACATTTGACATGAATTATTACTAGAGATTTTTTTCAATGTTCACAATTTGGAAAACACAAAATAAACTCTCATACTTTTTTTTCTAAATAATTATAAGCAAGAGTATCTGTATGAAATACCTGTAAATAATAAAATGAAATAACTGTACACTGATCAATTGATAATCAATAAAATAATCCTTATTGTTGGTAGTACATGATTATTTTTAATGTTAACATTTACATATCAACAAAAATATATTAATCACCTGCTTAATCTGTGAAAAAAAATTAAACCAATAAAAAATCAATCAAATCAAATCAAATTCTGAAAAAGAAAATATTTTTGAGTGAGGCCAAAATTTGAGGCCAGGCCAACTTTTGAGGCCAGGCCAAAATTTGGTTTGAAGCCAAATTAGAGGCCAAAATAGAGGCCAGGCCAACTTAGAGGCCAAGCCAGGCCAAAGGGGCCAGGCCAGGTTTTAGAGTATGCCAACTGCACAAGTATTAAAGTAAAATATTGAAGCAGATCAAATGTTATGTCAGCTAATTATGCAGCTCTGTTTTTGTGTGGGCTGTTTTAGTTTGTAAAATCAGGACAAAAACAGGAAGAGGAAATGTATCAGTGTACCGAAATACCTTAATTTATAAAATGTATAAGCATGGCCAAAGGAACATTTAATTTCCTTCCCTTCTTATACATGTACTTGGTCTTATATGTTTAAAGAAATCTTGTTGTTCAATGGTATTGCTGTTTAAAAAGTGGGTGCTAAAAGTATTTAATTGTTCTGGGATAAGTGGCTAAGCTCGGGTTATAAGTTCAATGGATGACTTAAGATGCACACACAGCCTCACTTGTGTATGATGACCTCATTTAGTTGTTTTAGTGACAATAACAGTATTTCTTATAACTTGTCATTGATGGTATGTCTTTCATATGAAAAGGATTATGATGGGTAATACTAGTGCAACTTCACATTGTGTATCCTATCAAGGGTTTTCATAAAGTTATTCAACCAATCAAGGTCATTGCAAATTATTAACTCACAAGGCGTAATGTGAGATGTATGTATACCAAGGAAATGGCTCATCAGAAGTTAAGGGAAAAAATGACATAAAGTAGGACAGGGGGAGGGGATAGATGTATGAAAACTGGAGGCGTACAAGGAAACAATTCAGTGCTTGTTAGATTTTTATCTGAACCACATTGCATTAAAGTTAAAATGGAGGAAAGACAAGAAACAGGGGTAGGTTAAACTTGCATACATCTTGCAAAGCTGTCAATACATTTACTAATTAATACCAAGATCAGTTTCTTTTTTAGGTTTTTCCCCCATATAGCTTTAACATTTTTAAGACTGCTAGTAATTGCTATAATTGTCAAAATTGAAAACATGTCTCAAAGAAAGTTTATTAATTAAATGTCAAAGATTTTGATGTTTAGAGAAAGGAAAAGAAAGAAATTCTTTCAATTAGAGTCATGAATGTAAGGTATTTAACCTAAAACTTGAGGTGTAGGAAATGTACAACATAAATTCCTAGACTTTTTTTGTAGGGAATGCAAATTAAAGAGAAAAAAATATCCCTGGGGACTTACTAGCTAGCTTGCATAATAATTTGCTTTAACCTGCTGATACTCAAGAAATGCAGGGAGATTAGGCGATTAATACTTTTCGAGTTAACAGATACAAGGCCATAGTGATGAAAATCCTTCATATTGGATGTCTTCAAAAACAAACTCCTGCTGCTATGGCAACATTTTCGGAATATTCCTAAACAATGTTTTCATTGATGTACATGCAGAAAAATATTAAAGACGGGAAAATCACATCAGATTCCAGACAGAAAAAAAAAATCAAGGGCAGATTTGAGAAACTTTTCAATTGATTTATTGTGTATGTAAGACACCCTGTGTATATATTTTGTTGCAATTAATGGACAGGTTTATTCAGTAAGTAGGTTGATTTAAGAAAGATGCTCTGTTAAACTACTCCATAAATTCCTTTAATTGGTGTATATGAACTTTGATAAACAACTTTTGACAGAGAACACATGGTCTTGAGTATATACAAGCTTCGGTATTCAGCATCTCATACTTTGTCCAGATTTTAAATAGATGCTAAAACCATCTATACCTCCAATATCAACAAATGGCTCTTTGGTACTTTGAAATTAATTTTTCATGAGCATTTTGCTCTTAAGGTATATAAATATCTTAACAATATTCGATTGCTAGAGTATATATAATTAAAAAACCACATTCACAGAAGGGTCATAATTATTACACGTAATACATACTTTGAGCTGATTTTTGTGGTATCTTGCACCTGTTATAATCTTGTCCATGGGTTCCCTCAAGTTTTATTTTTGTAGGTATGATTAATAATGTAGTCCCTAACAATCATGAACCTTACAGATCAATATAGCACATGTCTTGGTTTGATGTCTGTGTACATGCATGCATGGTTTTACAGCCAATAATTAGTTAAGTATTAGTTTTGTCTACAATATGATTCCCATACTGTTTCAGCTTGTAGTGTAGGAGGGGGAGAGTCATAAAGTATACTTTATTGGTGGTAGTTTTCAATGATACATGCAATTGCTGTAAAATCTTTCAGATCACACATAATATTAAGTTGTGTAGGCAATAATTTCCTCGCCTTTGTTGAATTTTTGCCCATAAAATATGATTATTTTCGTAAAAATGAACTTAAAATTTTATTAATGTCAATTTTTTGCACTTCCTGAGTGGAATATGCACAATATGGTCACTAATCAATCTAGAAAAGGAGGGTTGGGTTGAACAATCATTCTTTTATAGTAATTGGTGTTAGACAAACATTCCACACATATGCTTTTTATTTATTTACTCTAAATGCCAGATCATGTATGAAATTAAGGAGACTGGCCATCACAGCTGTGGGGTGTTTGATGGTTTTTGTTGCATGGTTTGCATTCTGTTGTTTGTCATTAATATATAACCCAAATTTTTTTTCTTGCCCTGTACAGATGTTTGAAGAGCGCAGTGACTCGCCAGAAAGAGGCGAGAATACCCCCAACTCAGTAGGAACAGTAAGTCATCTTGATCCACACTCGGTGTTTGACCTTTAACCTCTCTTAGTTTGGGGAGTTGCTCTCTATTATTATATCTCTCTCTTTAATTTTTTTAGTCCTTAGTTAGTTTTTACTAAGTTTTTCGTTATTTCTTTGTGACCTAATTTATTTGTCCTCTTTGTATATAACCTCATTTAATTTAAATATTATTTTAAGTGCAGTAGTTAAATACACTTCTGGGTATATTGTCTGACTTTCTGACCTTTTATTAAAAAAGATCATCCTACTCTGTAGTTAATCTTAAGCCAAACAAATCTTGACGTGAAATATTCTTCTTAATATTCCCAATCTTCTAAAGTAAAGAATTTCTAAATACTATTCCACACTCTCTTTCTTTTATCTGTAGTAAAACATATCCAAGATGTATATACCAATAAATAGTCACAGCTACATATGTGTAAAAATACTTAGCAATCTTCAAATTTGCAGGATAGATTTTCCTTTCTGTTCAGGAAATGTAATCAAAATATTCATTGCAACATTAATTCTTTAAAAACTTTTAAAAGTTTTAAAAAATTTATTATATATAACAAATACATGTACCAGTAGTTTCCCGATAGACATTTTTGGCACATATAATAAGCGTATCATATGTATATTAATCATACAATTTTATTCCTGTATTACTATATATACAATATTCCTGACAGGAAGATGAGTCAAATGTGGCTCCATCTACAGGCAACAATGCAAGTGTGAGTGTCTCTATATATACATAAATGGCCTGTGGGCAGCTCGGGGTGTCAATCACTCACATTATACAAATCCCTGATACGATTATCATAATCGTCTATATTTTTGTCTGCCTGTATAAAATATGTAGAGGGTTTTTCTCTGATATATACAACTTTCCTCCAAATTCTTTATATAAATTCCATATCCAACTGCAATATAAATATCAATGCCTATGGTGTTTTGTAGCTATAAACTATATATGTAATTAAACCCCAATTCAAAATAAGTATTTATACTGGTATATATAATTTCCTGCTTTTTCAAGTAACAATTTAGATTACTAACGTAATGTACATAATAGTGAATCACTCATAGCATTGGAATAAACTTGCAGAACTTTGACCTAGCAGCAGTTGCCGATTAGACCCTGATTATTTATAAGCACATGGAAGGTACAGAAGCTTGCTTGGCAAACACAAAAATTTTCAAATGATTTTTGATAGACATTCTATAAAAGCTAGCTTGCTTGGCAAACACAAAATTTTCAAATGATTTTCGATCAACATTGCCTACAAGCTAGCTGTTTTTAGCATTACATTGAATGCCGTTTTCATGGTTCATTTAATCTTAGATGCCTTAATCATTGGGGAGAATCAATGGATGGGTGCAACTAACAGTTCTTTCATCACTTTCTACTGAAATCTGTCAAAAAAATCATGAAAAAGATTAAGGCAGCATTTTAAAGAAGATAGCTGTTATCTCTCTAATACACACATGAGTCATCTAATATGAATCACTTCCTACAATCTCTACCCAGAGTTATCGTTCCACTTATAGCGAAGCGAACGACAACTCTGTGTAGAGATTGCACTTCCTACTGTTTCAAAGATTGGATATTGTGGTTAAAAAAGAAATAAAATTACAAAAAAAAATATTTGTTTTTATAGTAAAATGTGTTTTCAATTTCATTTCAAGATCCCAAATTCCCCCCTCAAATATACACTTACAACATGTACAATATATCATTTGTTTAAAAAATTCCATTTAGATATGATTTGCTTTTCTTTGTTTCAGGTATAATTTCACCTTTCCTTTTTTCCCCTCAAACTGCATGCACTAATAATATGATTTCTATATGTTTTAATTTTGTTAAATTTGATTCTCGAGTTATTTATAATTTAAGCATCTTGTTGCAATGTAAAGCATCTGTTTTTTTAAAAACAAATATAATTTAGCCAAAATATTAACATTAGAGATCAGATAAATTTGATTGGCACTGGCAATTTCTGTAATAGTTGCCATAGTAACAGCATGGCTGATGAAATTGAAAGATTTTTTGCCTGAGTTTGTTGCTTGTGATTTGTTTTTGGTTTGTACGTTTTACGTTTACAACTCTTTCTGTGCAGCCCAAAAGTCCCTTTGTCGCCGTACAGTTGGAGAAGTGTGCGGCATGTCAGAAAACCGTCTATGCCATGGAGAAGATCGAAATGAATAAAAACTGCTACCACAGGGCGTGTTTTAAATGTTCCCACTGTAACTCACGATTAACGTAAGATATTCATACTATGACTTTTATACAAGTAATATTTTTTTACTTTATTTTATGTTTTCAACACAGGGTACCTGCCACTACCTTCCTTTTCCCCCCCTTAGGCCAGATGGTTTAAATGATCCAGAGAAGAAAATTTTCTTTCTTTATAGACTTAGTAGTGTTTGTTTTCACATAATATTGAAATATTAAATTCAGTTTATATTACTTCTATACCAAAGTTGCATGCAAAATATAGTGTTTCAGTCTAAGATCCATGGATATTGTAGATAGACTATCATACATGTAACTCAAACCTTAAGTTATGAAAGTAAAGTAGACCAACACATACAAAACTGATACTTAAAACAGGTAAAAATGAAGGAATTGTTTTTCAACTCTGGAAAGATAAGAAAATAAGTCAAGCAAACACAAAAAAGAAGTGATGCTTGAAAAAAATTTGCCTTCTGAGGTCCTGTTCATTGTACACTGCCCTATGATATCACGAGATCAATTTACGTGAGTCATTGCCCCCAATCAGTGTGTAACCTATCAGTAAGTACAACTAGGTATATTTGTGTGTATCTTCTATATTTGCTGTTCAGCAAATCCTGCAGGATGCCGATGTATAATAGAACACTTCCTTTCCCAGAGCTAATTTCCTTCCCCTTGATAAAATGGCTGACATCCTGCCTACTTATTCACCAATCTTAGTAGAAACACATGATCTTAGTTTTATTGTACCACTACTTAGTCTAATTAACCTTATATTAATTACCTGGGAACAGGTCCTTTGAAATTTTGTGTTGTTTTTTTTATATATATAACCAGTTATTTTTTAAGAATTTCGATATTTCATGAAATAGAGTGTGATTGCATGCAAGTGTTTACTTCAAGTGCGTGTGATTATGCATTTGAAAGTTGAAAAAATAATAGCATGCAGAAATATACATTTTTGGAAAGTTTTATGAAGTTGTACGCATGTTTGAAAAAAAAAATCACCAAAGATCACTGCAGAATTCAATCACTTTGTATTACATAGAGATGTATAATGCTGAAGCAATATATTACATGGCGGCTCCAGTTGCTCAGCTCAAGATTACGATATTTCTAGCAACTTTTTAGCATTTTAATTTTTAATGATTTTGAATATTTATGACATGAGATAAGAATGTTGAGATTCTGTTTTGTTTTAATTTAAAAAAAATTACCAAGATCTTGAATCATGTTAATACATTTTCCAAATTATCTTTTTTTCTTAGGGCAAAAACGTTCAGCATGAATGAAGGAGTTATGTATTGCACAAACCATTTTAAGCAACTTTTTGCTAGGAAAGGGAATTATGACGAAGGATTTGGACGTCAACAACATAAAAAGCGTTGGCAAGGCGACCAACCAAATGGTGAACAACAGACAGTACAAGAAGCCACTGCTTGATGTTGTGTGCTTTAAATTTTTTTTTGTCGATACGTAATTTTTTTTTGTTTTTGTATTATTATTGTATGATATATGATATATTGCCATTTCATTTGTCAATATTATAGAGACATGTTATTCATTTTTTTGAAAGAATTTTAAGCAAGCTCAAAAATGTGCACCTGAAATGAGGCAAGAAGGGACACAACTCTTGGCAGGACATTGTTCAGTGCTATATTATGTATGTTGGAAAAATGAACTAAGAAGAGTGCTTTATGATATTTTTGTCCATTTTTGAAATACCACAATTCATTACATTGTATTCATTATTAGGACATTTAAGAATAATTACATGCCTGCATTTTACAAATTTCGAGTTGTCATCAAATTTGATTTCAAAATAAAAAAAAATGTTTTGGAATTACGTTATGGAGGTATAAAAAAGTGTCTCTTTTAGCATTAGATCTCAGGCATGTTTGGTCTTCCATTGTAGTGAGCGAGCGTTTGGACACACCATGAAAAATAATCGTTGCATTGTTTTACGATCATTGAAATAGGCTTTATATTTGATATTGTCTGGATTGTGATAAAGAAACAGATGAATCATATAATACTGAAAAGTGTGACATGAGTGCAATTTTTTATTGAGATAATTGGAATTGTTTGCAGAACTTTATAACATCACTTTGTATATTTTTTTTTTTTGAGAAATCATTTACCTTGCTCATCTGCAAGTTTCCGTTTTGTCATATATATTATATATATCATTTTTATATATTACATTACACCAAAGACTGCCTGAAAGGCAGATTTGTAGGTGAGCGAAAGAAGGTGATTTATTTTGTTCTCTCTGAATCAATAAATAATGTAACAAATTTGTAAAGAAGAAATTTTTATAATTTTCCATTCATTATTAATTTTAAGTTGCAGTTTGTATGAATGCATTTCAATCAATGTATTAAGAAAAAAATCTATGCAGCTGTTTAATTTTTTTCCTTCAGTTTTTCATGCATTTGTTTCTTTTTTTTTTTTAAATGTGAATGTAAGTTGCTGCAAATGAACTTTGACATTCTTATTTTAGTCATATATTTGATTAGATTATCGATACTGCTTCAAACTCAAATGTGAATTAATTTGTGAATAATAAAAAGCTGCTTGTTGTATCATTAGTTATGAAATCTTGTGACACGTTTAGTCAAAGTTAAAACGTGACAATCGGGTTTGAGTTCAAATAATGCTGGTCTCATTTCCCATGAACATTATATAAAGATTAATTTATATGTGCTTTTGACCTTAAATTATCAAGCTATAGCAAATATTACTGCATAGGACTTTTGCAATAAAATCTTTTTCAGTAAAAGCGCCTTGTCTTTCTATTGTCCAGTTTAAACAAAGAAATAGAATAAGATGGTGTATATTCAAAATGAGCAAATATTGAAAGTAATTTCTTAAAAGAAATAAAGATATATGAAAATTTCTAAGCTTACTACTGTATATAGGGTTATTTTTATGCCCCCCTTCGAAGAAGGGAGGGCATATTGCTTTGCTGCTGTCTGTCGGTCGGTCTGTATGTCGGTCCTTAGTTTCCATTCATTTTCTTCACAACTGTTGCACGTACTAAAATGAAATTTAGGATACGGATATATCACATGAATATCTAGGACAAGTTCTGTTTTGGGTACAATTGCACCATTTTTGACAGAGTTATGCCCTTTGGACTTAGAGAAATTCCAATTATTTGCAGTTTCCGTTCATTTTCTTCGCAACCAGTGCACATACTGAAATGAAATTTAGTGTACAGATTTATCACATAAATATCTAGGTCAAGTTTTGTTTTGGGTACGATCGCACCATTTTTGATAGAGTTATGCCCTTGGACTTAAAAAAATTCCAATTATTTGCAGTTTCTGTTCATTTTCTTCACAACCGTTGCACATACTGAAATGAAATTTAGTGTACAGATATATCAGATGAATATCTAGGTCAAGTTCTGTTTGGGTTACGATTGTGCCATTTTTGACAGAGTTATGCCCCTTAAGACTTAGAAAATTCCAATTATTTGCAGTTTCCGTTCATTTTTTCTTCACAACCGTTGCACATACTGAAATGAAATTTGATATACAGATATATCACATGAATATCTAGGTCAAGTTTTGTTTTGGGTACGATCACACCATTTTTGACAGAGTTATGCCCTTTTGGACTTAAAAAAAATTCCAATTTGGGGGGAGGGGGGCATAAGTGTTTTACAAACATCTCTTGTTGTCTTTTTACACCTGCTAATAATTTTCCCTGTTTTAATTCGTCCAGTCACAGTTCGCTTTTAAAAATTATACTGTTTTCTTTAAATCGCCCTATGTTAAATTGGCCCACCCATGATTAGGGCGATAGGGGTGAAAATAAAACGGGGGCGAAATTTTCCCTGTATACAGTATCTAATCTTACTTGCAGAACTGCTGCTATTATGAGAATGGAAATAACTGCGAAATATAAAAAGAAACGTGGACTAGTTAACAAGTTTTTCAAATACTGTGAAATCACAAATTTTTGTGGGATTTTGTTGTTTTGGAGGTATGAATAGACCCAAGAATACCCTGTCCTCCACGAAATGTAAAATGTTACATTCATAACAACAATTCTTCATCCACCAAATCAAATACCCATGTACCAAGAGATTTTTCTGAAATCAGGAGAATTTGACCCCACGAAAATATGTGATTTTACAGTAACTATTTATTGTTTTTACCAGTAGTAATCTTTAAACAAAAACCATAGCATCTTATCTTTTCAATTCAATGCTAAAACTGATTCCTGCTTTTTCCTAGATAACGGCTCAGGTGAGCAATGTAGCCCAATGTGGGCCTATTGTTTGACAACAAAGTTCCTGGGATTATTCTAACTCTGTACATGTTTAAAATAAAATGCATTCATCTCTTTAGAGATGCTTATTCTGCAAGGTTGGCCAAAAAGTTGGAAAAAAAAACGACTTATTAAAGCTATGAACAGTTTGGATGTGCCAAGTGATATTTGCATGTGTAGTATACTACTTTACACTATGCATAACAGTGCAGTAACAAATGTACTATATAAATGGAGATTAATGAAATGAAGAAACATTGCATGTTGTTAATACAGGAAATAATGTTAAATTTATTAATGATTGCATTTTGAAAATTTACAAATACATGTATCCATGTACATATGTATATCAATGCAAGTACAATATTGCAAAGGTGTTGTTACACTGACTGGACATTTTAAGAATTACCTATACTTTTAGAAAAAGATTGGTAACCTTTCTACAAACTGACAGCTGGAATGGATGCTAGCTGTTCTCCCTTGCATCTCTTTTTAAATGTGCTCGTGGTACATTTTTCCAAACAAAAAATCTATAATTTCAAACACACACTTCATCCAAACTTAGTGTCTAAAACTTTGATCATGAATAAAATGCCTTAAATAAACATTCGTCAGCTGATATTGTGAACATTAAAATCTTCTTCTAATATCCTGCGTCTTGTTCCAGAGTTATCTTCTCTAGGAGTTTGAACATTGGTTAAAGGATGATGCCTTTCGTAGTAAGTCTCGTAATAGGAATCTGTGAATGTGTCCGTACTGCAAGTATATAGAAATCATGTAAAGCTCTGTTTAAAATATTTTCCTTGTCTACAGACAATAAAAAATTTCAGCATGATGTAGAATTTACTGTTAAAGTAGAAAGTTCGATGATATGGAAATGTCAATGAAACACTGTTCAAATGCTTCTGTAGTACATTTAGTTTATCAAAGTTTCAACTAATTGCTTTTATAATACTATAAACCAACTATTATTTGCATCATATTCTATTCACAATTCGTCAGTTTAAAATCAATTAAGGACGATTAATTTTCCTGACTCAGGAAACTTTTTCTATACACATGCACACCAAAATAAATGGTTTGCCAGTTGATGTAGATCGTGAAAATCCTGATATTTCTTGAAAGCAAATAAAAGTTGGCTTACAGTTTACTGAGATTGTCAATGTTTTAACCCTTCAGTTTTTACCACATATCAGTATTTAGGATTGTATACTTACTAAAAATAATGATAAGCGACACAGTAGTAAATGGTGAGCATTATGATGAGAAACACAGTCAGAATGGAGTAAAATATAATGCCATCATTTTCCTGAAAAATACAATAAAAAAGTTTTCAAACACAGTTTGAATTTAAACATTGAATATAGACAATTCCAGCTAAAATCTTCCAGTAAAATATTTCAATTACTGCAGAGAATTTCATATTTTGAAAAGTAAAAGAAACGGGCTCTTTTTCAAGATAACTGTATACTGTATACAGGGTTATTTTTGCCCCGTGTTATTTTCGCCCTTTTACACTTGCTTACAATTTTGCCCTTTTTAATTTCGCCCAGTAACAGTTCTGTTTAAGAAATTATACTATGTTCTTTGAATTCGCCCCGTTTTAAATTCGCCCACTTTTGACAAGGGCGAAAGGGGCGAAAATAACACGGGGGCGAAAATTTCCCTGTATACAGTATACAGTATTAAATATGTAGAATCTTTCTTTTACTTAATTCAAGCAATACTGTAAACCAACTATTATTCGCATCTTCTTTTATTTGCGATTCATCAGTTTGAAATTAGTCCACAACAATTAATTTTCACGACTGAGGATACATTCTACAAATATTTAATAAATTTATTGGTTTGCGACAATTAATATTCGTGTATAAAGTTACGTCATGGAACTCGCGAACATTTCTCACACACGAATAAAAGTTGGTTTACAGTAATCATTATAGTCAGACATCATTATCTAGAAATTAATGGGACCAAATTTTGATTTGAAACATAATTTAAGCTTAAAATACAAAAAAAAAAGAGGTTGGACGTTTCAACTTACTTGGACATTTAGCCACAATTTTTGAGATATTGAAGTCTGAAATACTAAAGTCTGAAATACTACAAGACTGAGATATTGAAGTCTGAGATAGTATGAGATACTGGTCTGAGATACTGAAGCTCAACTAGAGGTGTCTCCTACAAAATATCAGACAAATTAAAAATGTTCCTTTGATTGACAACTGACCTCCTCTACAGCTGAATCCCAGTACTTCTTACAAGTGAGGAAGGAGCAGACATTTTGAGTCATATGAGTTATCAAGAATTCTGTAGCATTTTTACTTAATCCGTCAGGTACACAAGCACTCATCAGTTTCTGCAAGTAGAAAAAGTCACAATATAACTGCAGTCCTGATTAAATGACAAACACAATAATCTTTCATAGAAATACTTGCAAACTGATTGCAAAATTGTTACTTTGATCCTGGAGATTGTATTTACAAAGAGACAAGGGAGAAAACTCCTGATATCTGATTGGAGTGAAATAAATAAGACTCAAATGAGCAGAGACTCAAGTGAGTTCCCAAAAGAGAAATTGGTTAATTTGATTTTAAGATAAATGCATCAATAATATCAAAGAACACATGTACATGTATTAAAGGAGATTAAAAAAAATAGTACTGAATAAACACACTACCTCACAATCTTCCATTAATTCTTTCATATCGCTCTCGAGACATAAAGAAACATCCCAGAATTCCTTCCTCCTCCTGCCATCCAAGATGTCACATCTCATGATGTCACAGTAGTCAGCAAAGCAGACTGCAGACTTGTCCTATTGATATTCAACAAATGAGATAAAAATTTTTCATTTAATCATATTTTCTTAATTAGCATCAGATTATGATGATCAATTATTAGGTTTAATTTATTTTTTCTCAAACCAGAATAATGTATTTCAATATACTGAACAAAACACAAAAAGACCACAAGTCCTTTGATTAAAAATTCAATAAAAGAATATACAAATTCTTATTCTTGTCAACTTGCTATATCCTGAAATGATTGAGATGACAGAGTATATGAAGCATGGAAAAGGAGCAAAATTAATCACAACTAGATTTTCAATAAAATTCCTTGTGAGGGCTGAATAATACAGAATTAAAAATCCAAAGAACTAATATGTGGTATATTGCATATCTTTGCCCCCACAAAAGTCAAATTTTGAAAAATTCTTGAAATGTGCTGAATTCAATAAATTGTATGAGATTTATATAAATTAACAGAACATATAATAGTTTCAAAGTAGTTTATTGACAATATTTGTTTTTATGACGTCACAAACGTGTCCGATTTTATATCATTTTTTAGAAAGAGGACAAAATGGACAAAATTTCAACAATTTTAGCTTTAAAATTTATAGAGCGGAAGTTTGCTCAGGAACAATATTTACATATTTCATTGATAACATTATCATTCTGCACATTACATCAAAATATTGAGCCTGATCAGACCTGCGCTCGGTGACTTTTACTCAAAATATCGATGTAATATATACATTTTCTGTAGAAATTCTGGAAATTTTAAATTTACGTCATTTCAAACATATGACGCCATTGCTTATGAAAATATTCAGTGAATTGAAGTCAGCATATACCCCCCTGTTTAAGTACATAATTAAACATTTCTCTGTCAAAGTTTGATTTTTGGGGGGGGGGGGGCAAATATTGGTTATTACCGAATAAAGTTCTCTGAAAAGATTGTGAGAGGGGAGGTACCTGAGTACATGTAAATCAACCTACAAATGTTTTTGAGTTTATTAAAAATTAATGACCCCAGACATGCATGTGCATACCTCTCTGACAAATTCTGGATGTCTTCTGTCAAAATGCTGATCTAAGTAATCTTCAGCATAGAAGCCCTTTCCGCAGTAGTCACAATACCACTTGGAGATTCCTTCAGAAACTTTGTTCTCTTCCTGTAATACATATTTATCTCTCTCTGGGGAAAACAGACAGGTGTCAGGTATACTGGTCTTGGCTTGTTGAAACAGTGGATAAACAACCTGAAAAGAACATTCTTTATTGGTACTTGTGATTACTTCTATCTGTGTGTTTTATCTACCCACTATGTTCACCAAAAACCATGTTTCAGCAACAATATTTGTATGTTAAACACGGCAAGCTTTGATACATTTTTTATTTCTTGAAAATATTTTCATGACTTATGATATGTATACGTGTTATACTCTTAAAGACTTTATGAAGTGAACTGATCTTTTACACATACTGTGGAATCATAATGAATTCATGGGGATCAATGTTCATTGTTAAGCAGAATTTGACCTGTTCATGGGGATGTAATTTTGTGGGTAAATACTCATAAATACGATGGTTCAATAAATCAATACATTAACAAAATAAATGTTCGTGGGTATGGGTGACCCACGAACATTGGTACCCACGAACAATGATGATTCTACAGTATATGTCAATAATGATATTTGTTTTAGACATTCATTATTTTGCTATCGAGTCAACACAGCTTGACTCTATATTCCACCACATTAAAAAACTGAACATCCTTACAGTTATCCACAGTTCAAACCACTATAATCATAGTCATACACCTTATTTCTGGGTTAATTATATTATAGATATTTTTGTCTCTAATACTCACTTCCTTTAGCAGCTTGCGAACAGTTCTAGATCTATCTCTAGGACAATGCCTTGCACATGACACTGATGACAACAGTGACAAAACCTGAAGAGATATAAATCACAACATTTAAAAGATAAAGAAAAAATTGTGCACTGTGGTAATTGACTAAAAGTTGGACTAAGTGTATAATGCTGACTCTGAAGCCTCAATTTTGAGAGTCATTGTGTGCATGGAATAAAAGCTTTTTTTGTCAATTTCAACACACAGCCCATTTGATCTGTCACTTCAATTTCGAGCTTATGGGTTGTTTTACATGTGTGATTGAGTGGTGACCAGTACATTTGGTGCTGTGCCATGATCTGGGAGTGACAGCTAGGTGCATGGCCAGATAGCTCAGTTGGTAGAGCACCTGATGAGATTCAGGGGATCTGGGTTCAAATCTTGGTCTGGTGATGTTAACGGTACATTTGGTGTTGTGCCATGCCCTGAGAGCGATGGGTGAAATTTGGCCAGGGAGGAACCTGGGATGGTGTCTCAAGCAGCTGAAGACCTTTAGTAATAGGAAGGGAGGAATGTGTCGATCAGATAGGTTTGATCATTGGTGGCCTAATAGCTCATAATTTGGTAGAGCAACTGACTAGAGGTTATGGAGATCTGGGTTTGAATCCAGGTCTAGTGGACTGCATTTTTCTACTCTCTCGTAACACATGTTTATCATTCAACCATGCACACATACAATAAGTTATTTGAAAATCCATTCTCTGCAAGTGTAACAGAAAAGGAGAAGGTGTATGACTGGAGAGAGAATTGACTAAGACACTAAGACAGATGCTCTCCCCAGTGAGCTACCCAAGCTCAGGATCCTAGGATCAAACCATTTCACAAGGTTGAACATCTGTTGGATATCTTATGAAAAGTAATCTGAATGTCATATCCTCTGACCTCAGAAAGAATAATAGTTTTTTTATTGAAATTTTATTTGTTGTTAATAGCGAGCGCAGTGAGGCGGCACGAAGCGCCGCTCGCGTAGCGAGCTCAATAGACTAACGTGTACGAACGAAGGAAATTCGGGTTGAAATCTGCACATTGTTCCAAGAAATTTTTATCTCACCGCGTGAAAAAATTCCAAATTCCCAGTTATCCTGTTGCACATGCATATAACAAAGTGGCTAAAACATAGCAACAACTTACTTTAAAAAAAATACAAACAACGATTTATATATGCAATTTTACATGCGGAATTAAACTTTAAAATGCCACAGAACTATCCTTTGCGATTTAACTTTTTTTTTCTAATTAGTTGTTTTCACCCCAACATTTACTTGGGCTAGTGACTTCATTGCTGCCACAAGCCTGTGTGAGCTGGTGCCATGCTTGAATTAATTATAGTTGCATAACATAACCCTGGTATCACAATCAGTGTTTGGGAAGTGATTTCTTTTTATTGTTTTGTTTTCTTCTTTTTTGCTTTCTTTTTTCTTAAATGATAGGCAGTACACTGTATAGTTTTGTGATACTAGTAGTACATAACTGCGCTCGCCCCAACGGTCACACCGTAAAACATATTATTGAAAGGTTTCAAAGCCCCTACACCTCTTGAATACCGACTCCCCAACGTGGAGAGTCTTCAGTAACTCTGAGCAGAGATATAAATAACAGTTATTTATGTCTCTGCTCCGAGTGACTGAGTCAGCTTAGCTTTTTTTTTTTACTGTCAACGATGAGCATGATGACCAGGAAAAATTAAGACAATAACAATGCATAAGCAATGTCTGAGAATTTTCAAACAATAAAAGGTAAAAAATTAGTTAAACAATACTCACATATATCAGAAATGGGCAGAAATTCATGTACATGTTTGAATTTTTGCAAAAGTGAAAGTAACAGGATGTTTGAAAGATGAACTAAATTAAACAGCTATGAATGACTCGTGAATTTCCGGATGCTTCACATAATTTGTAATATGAAAGAAAAATTAAATGTTAGTAGAAAAAAATCTTTAGGTTCGTAAAAATATAAATGAATCAATTCAAATTCAAACTTGTTGTAAATAAAGCAATTAATTTCACATTTTTTCCTGAAGTTTTACGTCAATGGATGAACCACCATGATAGGTTTAATTTTTATATTAAACTACATATTTCCAGTGTTGATTGCAGGTGCCCGGTGTTTTGATCATATAGTAGCTTTTTAAAATCTCTTTGAGTTGACTTTCCTAATGCTTGTCATTCTTTTTTTTTTTACAGATTATCATTTCATGATCTGAATCAGGAGTAATCTCAATATACTGGGGTCATATCGATATCAAGACAAACTGCTAAACAAAATGCAAGGATCATACTGATGTGTTCATTAGAAATAATACAGTTTTGAAATTTTCCCCAGAAGAAGTTGTTAAATCTAACCAGGGACCTATATACTATAGTATATAGGTCCCTGATCTAACTAACATAATGTTTTCAAGATTCTTCAACCTGACAGGGGTCTGTCAGCTTTGCAGGATGAACTCCATTAAGAAACCATCAAAATTCATGACTAAAAGGACATCAAAATTCAGTTATATTTCAACACTTAATGGGCAAAAATATACTCGTAGGAAAGATTTATTAAGTTCAGCATATACACCAGTTTGTTGCTTTAGTACATCAAGAACTGTTTGGAAGCCGAGTGATCAAGAAAGCAGTCAGGGAGAAGAAGATTTAGATAGCAGTAAGGCTCAGGCATTGGAAATTCCTGAAAGTGGTAAGACTTAAATTTAAAAAAAATTACCAAAGCTTGATTTCATCTGTAATGGATCTTGCTGCATTGCTCACTGGGAGGAAATGATTTAAGAAACAAATTCTGCGTTTTCGTGAATGTTGTAGGATAACCTCCGAGGTCAAGAAATGTTTGAAAGATGAAAGCTGAGACGTTAGCCGAAGCTTAAATATTTTAAAAAACATTTCGAGACCGAAGAAGTTATCCTGCATCATTCACGACAGTAAGGAATTTATTTATGATTATATCGCTAAAATATGTATATATATCCTTTATAGAGGAACAAAATTAGCTAGTTCATTTCAGATTATGCTGTTCCGTCTAACACCAGAGGAAAAATGTGCTTGCTTACCTGTGTATGGAAAGCAGATGATTTCAGCTTTCGTTACATTAAAAAAAGCCTTTTTAAATTACAAATTTGTTCGTAGTATGTAATGATTAATTTTAACTACCGGTAATACACTATAACAAAATCATGTTTCTGTTTTACTGCTTTATTGGGACTAAAATCACGTTTAAATGTGTAGGGAGGTCTGTAAATAGCCCCGCTTAGCTATAAACACTGATATTAATCAGCAACTTTATGCAATTTACAGTGTTTATACTGCAAACGACTACTCATCGATGTGGTCTAAACAAGTATTTCATTCTACAGCTAAACATGCATTTGAATTGTTCAGGTTTGATACGAGTTTCTGATCTGATATTTTTTTGATGACATTTGTGATTCATTGGAGAATAATGTCCGCGGCATTTCTTTGATCTTGGCAATTATCGCGGTACTAGAATTATTGATAGAGTATCCACTTTTAAAATTGATGATTTAGAGCTGGAATCGAACTGAAATTTTAAGTTCCCTGCTGCTCATAAGCTAACGTACAGATTATAATCCTTGTTGGGATGGCAATTCGTTAACAATTAAATTATGAATTTAAATTGACCTTCTGGCTGCAATGAGTGACCTACAAGCATATACTTTAAATATATATGTGGGGTTTTGTTTTGTTCACAAAATTTAATATTGATTTTAGATGATGTTTTACAAGAAGATGAGGAGTATGAAGAGTGTCTACAGGAACATTTTCACTTTGATGGAGTACATCATTCACTAATGGTCATTCACCCAGGTTTGAGCAAAAATAAATTCATTCATAATTGAGTCTTTATAAATGAATGTTATTTTTACATCAAGGATGCTTGATTATATTTCCATGAAATGTCTGAAATTAATTTATTATTTTATTTAGCCATCAGATGGGGGAGAGAAAAACCACGATCCACCACACCGGAACTCCAGCTGAGTGAGGCCTGTGCTTTGGTTCATTCTCTGCCAAAATGGAGAGTTGCAGATACGGTAAGATTTTATGGCGGAATTTCTGAAAGAGAAAATATTTATCTGCCAGCAGAGATGGCATTCTGAATTAATATTTGTAAAACTGACAGACTGTAATTTATATGAAATTAATTTTATGAACTAGTAAGGTGACCTGAATCACTCAAGTTACATTTGCTATCTGCATCAGGCTTTTTGCATAAACTTTTCTATATTTTCATCTTATTCTCTTAAACCACTACCCTGGAGCAAATTGAACCAAATTTACCATAATGCAAAATAGCCCTATAACATACCGTTATTTGTTTTATTTTGTACACAATAAATTCTACTTATAGACTGGGTTAATATCCTGTCATCTAATGCAGCTAGTCTACATAATATAAACAGATAATTGTAAATTTTACTTACAGAAAATCATAAAAGTAAAGAGTCATCGAGGCTTTATATTCATGAAGGGACAATTAGAGGAATTAACGAAGCTGATCAAAAGTCGCACAGACATCTCAGCAGTGTTTGTCAATGTGGACGTCTTGAAAATCAATCAAGTGGCAATGCTGCAGGGGTCCTGGAAACTGCCTGTATTTGACAGGTCCTGAATATGAGCATTTTTTTTCAACTTGCTATTCAAACTGAAATAATAAAGTTATTAGAAATACTGTAGATCACTAAATTTTCACGACTCCATAATTTCGCGATATAGTCATTGACTCTTCATAAGGGAGACATAATTTTCAAGAATTGTTGTTATTTTCTCTATATAATTGTAAGGAATACTTTTAAATGCAAGAATGAAATTTTCACAAGCTCATTGTCTGGCGTAATTATGCAAAAATAAAGTTCCCACAAGTAAAAAATAAACAGGTTAACCTTGCAACTTAGAATTTTATAAAATTAGGATGCATGAGTAACTACCCGGTAGTTGATTTAAATAAAAAAATATTGAGTGTCAACATTTTACATCTTATTCAGGTATACTCTTGTTCTCCACATATTTAAAGAATATGCACAAACCAGAGAGGCCAAACTCCAGATTGCTTTAGCAGAGATTCCCTATATCAGGTATAGTTAAAGATTTGAACAGCTTATTTAGATCTCAAGCTGCATTCATCACAATTGTCTCTAAATGTGAATATCATATAGAGCTCAGAGTAGATTACTTTTCTCTTACTTATTTCATTTGATGTTTACATTTTTATCTAATCAAGGTACAAACTACTTCTATTCCATTAATTAAAGAATTCTTAAAAACATGCTTCCAAGTCTGTTTCAGATGCAAAACTTATTTTATGCTTTCTTGTCTCACAGCATTTCACCCATAAAGTTTTATTTTGAACCATAGGAAGCTTCCAGAATATTTTGTGGGAAGTAAACCAAACATAGGTGAAATATTGTACAATTGTTCCAATTGATATAGGGAAATGCCATAGATAGAAAACTTGCATAAGACAGATATACAGCTACATACTAGTATGCGTTTTCCAGGGGTCGTTTGGAGCAGATAAATGAAGGTCAACATGACCACCTGACTGGGAAGACCCATTATGTTGTGTCCGGTGGATTCAGATTCACCTACATACAGAAAAGACAGGCTTTAGTCTCGGTAAGTTTATCATATATACACACATATACAGATAAAATGAAACAAATATGCTAATTAGAGAAGAGGTGCAAATTCAAACATGGCAAATTTTATGTGCATTGATACCTTCCATCCGGTATCAGAGAATTTGATGGAAAGGTCTACATTATACAGAGGAATTTGTTCTGTCTGAATGTGTAATCCAAAGTCTTACCTATTACAATGAAAACTTTTAAGACCCATTTGGTTAATTCAATTGTTTAAAATGTTGTCTAATTCAGTTAATTGGTATGGAACCATTGGTATTAGAACTCGACAAATTTTACTGCTTTGTTTAATGCAGACTATACACAGTTTTTCATTTGTATTTTTTTGATCCTATGAATTGCTAAAAAAAAGATTTTTTTATTTAGGCAAGGGAGAGGAGACTGAGAGGAGAATTAGAGAAAGTCAAACAACAGAGAGAAATTCTGAGGAAGAACAGAATCAAACAACAGTACCCTACTGTAGCCGTGGTGGGGTATACAAACTGTGGTAAGTTAAAATACATCAGAGGCCTGTTCAGCAGAGCGAGGGTTTGCGAGCGCTTGCCAAAATTCCTTATACCTCCAATAGTAATTTTGGCGAGTGCTCGCGAACATTCGCTCTGCTAAACAGGCCTCAGGTCACTCTAATTTTTAAAAAAGTGGGCTTCGTATTTTAGTGGCCTTGGTACAAACAACAATACACTTACCAATGTATACTGCTATTATATCATTTATAAATATAAATAAGGTGCAGAGTTGTTAAGCATTAATTTATGTTAATGTCAACTACTCAGTATACTAAATTTTGATGTACATGTAGAATATCATATACAGGAGGAAAACTTGAACAATAAACTTTGATTCGTAAACAATTATAGATCCTCTTTAAAAAGTTGGATCGGCTGGAAAAAAGAGTTTTTAATGTGGTTTGTTTGAATTTCAAGGGAAGACAACTCTGATAAAAGCCTTGACAGAGGATGAGTCTCTAACACCGGAGAATCGCCTGTTTGCGACACTAGATGTCACTGTTCATCAGGCTTACCTGGCTAATATCCACAAAGTTCTTTTTATTGATACTGTTGGTTTTATATCGGACATCCCAGATAGTCTTATGGATGCTTTCTCTGCCACCTTAGAGGATGCGTTAATAGCAGTAGGTACTTTTTTCTAATTTAAAGTACTTTTCAGTTATACTAGGGGATGCGTTAATAGAAGTAAGTACTTTTTTTCAAATTGAAAGTACTTTTCAGTTACAGTGAAATATCAGTATCTCGAAGTTGAGGGGACCTGGACACAACTTCGAGATATCCGGGGGTTCGAGATATCCGAAGTTATCTTCCAAAGTCGAATCAATAATTTTTTTTGTATATATCTTCATGCATAACACTATCCTGTATTACCAAATATGTAGTCTTTATGGTAAAGACTTAAGCATATTCACAATAAATATCAAGAAAAACAATGTTTGTTTCGCTCTTTATCATGTATAATTGTAAAACAATTTAATATACATGCCTTATTGCATATACAGCGATTTTACATTTTCCAGGCCATGCGTACGTGGTCAAACGGGATGTATCATTAGCGTTATAGTTCAAGAACCTTCTCCGTAAGAAAAGAAAAAGACGATTTTTTTAAAAACAGTGTTTGACAAAACAATGATGTTAGTGTTATTTGGAGCACTAAAAAATAATTCAGTATTTAAACTGTGTACTTGAATAATATTAATAGTTCACATGTATTACATTACGAAGTACTACTGAGGATCAAAGTTTACGAAACTAACAATGCAAATGGCGGTCAAGGTTACCTATTTATACGCAGATATAAACATGAATCACTGCACTGTGCATTACGCACTGCAACTTTACTGTTTAATTTAAGTTTATCGTAAAAAGTCTTTGTGTTCTATGAACTTACGATTTTAATTATACAGAGCATATAATTAAATGCAATATCGGTAATACTGTCTGTTTTTATTTTTCTGAATTGCTGCGAAGTGGCTTGTTTTATCGGTCGCAGACTACACCCAACACCCAAGCTGTGATACCACTTACCCTGCGACAAATACCCAACATGAGCTTGGGATTAATTAAGATTTCCCTGGTTTGGAGGTGTTAATTAATAGCCACTGGCAAGAATGTGTGAAGTCACAACGCCAGGTGTGTTCAGTAGACCGAAAAAATCACTGCACTTCGAGATAAGCCAGGTAAAATAGGGCTTGGGACTTTGAATATACTTCGACATAAGCGGGGTATTCGAGATTACCGTATTCGAGATATCAGGTGTTTTTTAAATCATATATATATAGAGAAAACGGCCGGGACCGGCGATCGACTTCGACATAAGCGGGGTATTCGAGATATCCCATGTTCGAGATACTGATATTTACCTGTATATCCCTTTTTGTTTTGGGGTAATTTTCAGTCACAAATGAAAATTGAAATACGGTATATCATGCAGAGCTTTTGCAAGATTCTGATTCTTAAGATCAGGTCTTATTAAATAAATATGATCAAAAGAACTTTAAATTTTAGGAACTATGTGCATGTACTGTTTTACAAAAATTGATACAAAAGTTAATTCAGTTTCAAGACTCCACCCATGTCACTAATTTGTAGTTGACAGCCAGTGTTTTCAATTTACATCTGCATGCTAAATTAAATACTGTATTTTTTCCACAAGAACATCATTGGAAAATACCAAGGATGAATATAAGTACAAGTAAATAACACCTCCTTTTGGGGCAGCAATAGTCAATTCATGTAAAATATGGTATAAAAGGAAATTTTAGCGAGACGCAAATTGAGCTATATACAGTACCGACCAGACCCAACCTGACACAAAGCAGTCCCAGAGCAGTCCCGGGGACTGCTTTCTGGGACTGCTAAAGCAGTCCCACAGCGGTCCCAGAGCAGTCCCACAGCGGTCCCAGAGCAGTCCCACAGCGGTCCCAGCAGTCCCAGCGGTCCCAGAGAGCAGTCCCAGCAGTCCCAGAAAGCAGTCCCAGTGGGCGGGGTTTATTAATTTAATGGGCGGAGCTAACTCAGAAAAGAGATTTCCAATAAACAATGGATCTATAAAAGGCAGTAAAAATAGATTCTGGGTAGTCTGCCAGGAATCCTTACATGTACCCGAAGGTCATTTATGAACGGAACATGTACGCGCATAAAAATTGAAATAATCTAATATTAATAATATTTATTGGAGGAAGAAGGCTTTCACACTTATATGTACATATATGAATTACACTGTACATGAATAATTAGTCACAATACCTGGGTATATTAATAATTCTTCTGTGATTGATACTGGTTCCCATATTTATTTTTTATACAGAAAATTAAACGTGAATTAATTATTTTCCACCAGAAGAAGCTTTAAATAGATCTTATCATTATATGGCCAATTTAGACTATCAGGATACTCTAAAGTTAGAGTTTTCTTAAGTATTGGGGCTTTTAAAAAATTCTTTGTTAATTTAGCCAAGTATTATTTTTTAGTCATGATTATTTTTACTGACATGTAAATTTAATTATCGTTAATGCCTAGTTCTATAAAACTCAGTTTTAAGTGTTTTATTTGTAAATGTTACAGTGTACATCTGTAATTCACCAAAACTGAAGCTTCAGGTTATGTTCAAAATTAATTAATCCCGAAAGAAATTTATACACATTTCATTTATCACATTTTTTTCGCATTAAATAAATTGAAATTAGGGTAATTGTTTACATGTACCAGCATGTTCAATGATGTGTAACACTGATACAAATACCCAAATAACAAGTATCGATTTTTCTGCCTAAAGGCGTTTGAAACAACGGGTGTTGATACCATCTTATAAACATTAATCGGCCAGATAAACACTAGCAAAACAAAAAAGAAATAAATCACAATCCCCGGTATTTTCATTAAAAAAAAAATAAATATACTCTTTTAATAACTTGTTTATTAATTAAAAGCTACCGGTAATTCATTAATTCCCCAATGATTATTCACATACATGTAGTTTATGTTACGGGAGAATGGTAGCATAATTTAATTTCATGGTCATTTAATAAATTGTTGGGTTTTATTTGAGGGTTACATGGGATAATTTTTTTTAGCGTGGTCCTTATAAAATGTGTAGCATTTTTAATCAAAAAATCTTATATCTAGCTGTAATGATTATTTTTAAATACTACCAATGCAAATTTTGAGTACATATTAAAATTTAACATTAAATAGTTAAAAAAGGCCCACTTGTGGCTATTTTTTTTCTCATAAACTTGAAGTTTATTTTTAGGGATAAAAATTTTCTCATGAATTCCTTATTTTATCAACTTTATTTTTTTTAATTTATTCTAAATACACATTAATTTGTGTAAGTATACAGTCCCTGAAAATATGAATTAACTACATGTATAATACCCCCTACGTATTAAAAGAATGTAAGAAATCCTTGCTTATTAAACAGTTTAAACTCCTCTCTGCTGCAAGTAAACAAAACAACAGGGAGCCTGCAAATTCAGAATACACAAGGGGCGGAGCTATCATGTCACTCAGAACCTTTTTCACACATGAGTGAACAAAGCAGTCCCAGAAAGCAGTCCCAGGGGCAGCTGGGACTGCTGGGACTGCTTTTCATAGCAGTCCCATAGCGGTCCCAGAGCAGTCCCACAGCAGTCCCAGAGCGGTCCCAAAGCAGTCCCGGGGACTGCTTTCTGGGACTGCTTTGGTGTCAGGTTGGGTCTGGTCGGTACTGTATCCTCAAAAAGTGGTATCTATTTTTAGCGAGATGTAATTTTAGTGATTTTAAAATGTTCACTAAAGAACCTATTACAAATGAAATTAATTTTTAGCGATCAATTCTAGAGATCTCAGCACCCTCGCTAATAATGTCAAAATTAAATACTTGTTAAATTTTCTGCTTAAACATTATTGCTTTAGAGATTATAATTTTACCTCTTACATAGAGTATGATCAGGGGAGATAACCATTAATAATTAATTCCTTTTTAGGATGTTATCCTTCATGTCAGAGATTCTAGTCATCCAGATCTGGTGGCACAAAATGAAAATGTTATAGACACACTGGGGAAACTACTACCAGAGGAGAAGCTGCAGAATATGCTGGTAGTCAACAATAAATGTGATCTTTTAAGGTAAAGTAACGTAACTTCTAAAGAAAAATTAATTGAAGAAAAAAAATCATAATGCAATTTAGACACTTTTAAATCATTTGAAGCATTTGGGTTTCAAAGTGCCTGATGTTTCATGGGGGGGGGGGGGGGGTAAAAATGAATTAAAAGGTATTTTACATGAAAAGATGATAGATATTTGAAAATTTGGTGATCAGGGAGATGGGAGGGGGGGAGGTGGGGGGTGTTCAGATATCCAGAAATTATCAAAGATTTGTACAAATAGCAAATACAATGTATTTCTTTATCTATGACAGTGAGTATGAGAGCTCAGAAGACCTGTATATATCAGCAGTGACTGGTACAGGAATAATTGTCCTGAAAAAGAAGCTGGAGGAGACAATCATTAAGAGTACTGGGAGAATGAGGAAAACCTTCAGGATACCTGTGGGAGGGGAACACTTAAGGTCAGATTTGTCAAAGTTCTTATATAATACATTACATTGTATTACCTACCATTAACCTCTTTTTATACGTGTAATAAAGGTGTATGTTTGTCTTTATGAAGAGAAAAGTGTCTGTAAAGATTTAGGAATTTTCTTTTCCTTGATAAATTTCTGTGATGAGTTTTTGACCATTGTCTACCACCTTGATCTGAAGATGGCTACACCAAATTTGAACCTCCCTAGATTCAGTGTACATGTAGTTCAGAAAGTAGTATCAAGGCTAATGTAGTGGTTTACAGAAAAACGAAATACCATTGAAACCAAGTTATTACTTATAGGATTTTATCCATTTTTTACTAGAATTTTTTTACTAGCTCACCTGAGCTGAAAGCTCAAGTGAGCTCTTCTGATCACTTGTTGCCTATCCGTCTAGCTGTCCATCTGTCTGTATATAAACTTTTCACATTTTCAACTTCTCAAGAACCAAAGGTCCAATTTTATCCAAATTTGATACAAAGCATCCTTGGGTGAAGGGGGAAAATTGTTGAAATAAAGGGTCAGGTCTCTTTTCAAGGGAAGATAATCAAGAAAAGACAAAAATAGGGTCATCAAAAAAATTCTTCTTAAGAACCACTGGACCAGAAAAGCTGAAACTTATGTGGAAACATTCTGGGGTAGTGTAGATTCTAAATTGTTCAAATCATGACCCCAGCCAGGGGTAGGGTGGGGCTATGATAAGGAATCCAATTTTTTACATTCATTTGAAATGTATTGGAATATTGTAAAATCTTCTCAAGAACCACTAGGCCAGAAAAGCTGAAACTTATCTGGAAACATCCAGGGGTAGTGTATATTCTACATTCTCCAAATTATCATTCCTTGGGGTAGGATGGGGTCACAATAGGTATTACAAAGGGGAAATCTTGTATAAAAAAAAAAAACATTGCATGGCCAAAGTTACTCAGGTGAGCGATGTGGCCCGTTGGCCTCTTGTTTTCATTGTTACACTTAATAGGTCAATATATTTAATACTAAAGTAGTTAATAAAGCTCTTTTGTGTATTTACAGTTGGTTGTATAAAAATGCCACAGTGCTTTCAACAAGAGACGGTGAGGATGGACATTCCTATTTAGTGGAGACAATTATCAATACTGCAGCTTATGAGAAATTTAAACATCTTTTCTCCAAAAATAAAAGGAAATCTTGATGCTTAACTATTTTTTTGAATTTATTTGTTGCTATGAGCTTTCAATATGCCAAAGAATTTTTGTAATTTACTTTTTAAATTCTCTTGTAATAAACAAGAGTGCCTGACAGTAAATTTGAGAAGACTTTTTTTATTTATTGTATTTTTTTCAATCATCCAAGATCATGATATATTACATATGTATCCCAGAGAGATAAGCTTACCTGTAACTTGCAAACAAACAATTTAAGGTCACAGAATCAGAATGTGTAGCACGTACTACATTGTACCGGATGCCTTACCAATGTCACAGTTGATATGTCAAGTCTTTGACTTTAGAAGTTCAGACAGATAAGTTTAATTGACCTGAATAATCTGAATTGACTACCAGGTATTTCTACCAAGAGTTATCTTTCCTCTTACTCAAATGCCCTCTGTCAGTGTCTCAAGTCGTGTGGCTACCGGTAAGTGGATTTGTTAAGGCAGTCAGTCTGCTTCATCAAAACATGAAATGCAATGCAGATTTAGTTTTTATTCTTATTGGAAGTTTAAAATCAACTACTTTTAAAAATGATAATTTTGCAATTCAATACTCTTTAGTATAAACTTGTGGCAGTTGTTGAAGGTGCACTGGCCTAAAGGGCATGAACCTTGGTTTTGTATTCTGATTTAATCTGTCTCATTTTTTTCTTCCTGTTACATGCTGTGCAATGACCAGAATGTGACAGGTAAAAAAAAATCATGGGGAAAACAGGGTTGGTGTCCTTAATAAAAAAAAAGAAGAAGAGATTTAAGGATGGTATGTGAAGCCTAATTTTTCGAAAGAACTTAAACTAAGACCAAATAATTATGTAATTTTGCTAATAAGTTTCTTTATTACAGTCATTTAAAATGGTTTCAAAAAGTAAAATATTTTAATGCAAGCAATTGAATGCATTTATGTTAAATAATTTTACAATCAAGATTTTGGTCCTAGTTGCAAATTCTTTTGTAAAAAAGTGGGCCCCTGGAGTCCTTCATCAAACACTTCTTTATCTGATCAGTTGCATGTATATTTTTTCCCTTCTCATTACACTTCATATGACATTTTCAGTACTAGTCCCCTGCCAGTAAAAAGGAGGTAAGTTGACAACTTAAAGCTGAACACAACTCGTAAATAGGCATAAGCCATTTTCGATATCATTAGCTACAATACATCAACACCAGGGTATACTCATCAGATTTATCACATCTGATTGCTTTATTGTCACGGGCATCGGGGAGGAATGGCAACCTGTGTTAGTGCTAGTTATCTTACATTACTTTTGTTTACAATTTATTGCAATTACATGTACCTCTTTTTGTTTATATACTGCACTGACCTGTACAACTATACTTGTAAGTTCTTTCAATGGTATCTTACTTTCCTGCATTAGACTAAGTATTACTTTATTGTTGTCTCTACCGAGTGCAGTATAGCATATGTCCGCTTACACTGGTGTCTACTGATTACACTGAAAAGGAACAAGTCCTGCCCTTTATATAAGGGTCTGCAGGTATCGAGATTCTCCAAACAAAAATGGCGGACACATTCCTTTTACGAATTGTGTTCAGCTTTAATCTTGGTTACACAAATGAATTTTGGGGAATGACTTTTAAAAAAACAAGAGGCCCACGGGCCTTATAGGTCACCTGAGTATCATGTAACAACTTTCAAACAATGGAAATTGGTTTGTGTTTTAAACCAGAGGCCATGAAATTCACAATTTTGAAAGAGGCACCGTTGCTTATCATAATAATACACTTAGCATGTTTACTGTAGTTACTTTATACCCAGAGGTAGATCAGAGTAAGTAACAAAGAGAAAATGCATTTCCACTTTGTAACCAGTTGTGCACCCCACCCTACAGGAACAACATATTTCAAAATTTTGAAAATTTTATTTCATAATAAATGATTTATTTATACCAAAGAGCAGATTTCAAAGCATTAATTCAACTATGTAACCCCCCCCCCCTCCGATACCCCTGACCCAGGGGGCATGAAATTAACCATTTTGCTAGATGCACCTTTCTTCATCATAAATATATATATTTAGATCATTGGCATAATACCCAGGGGCCCATTTTACAAAAGAACTTACAACTAAGACCAAAAACTTCAGATGATTGTAAAATTTTGCAAACTTTATAATTTTCTTCAAAATTATTTGTGTAAAAATATCTTACCACATTTCTTTTAAAAAGTTTAAAATAATTTTCTATATAATGTTTAGGTCATAATAAAAATATTCCTAGATTCTCATCCCCGCCCGCCCCGATTTTATACCCCCGCCTCGATTTTTTTTATTTTTGTTTTTCTACGGTTTGATTCTGATCGGGATCGGTATTCATCTACCATTCTACTTTCGTTTTAAACCCCGCGAAAGTCGTCATGATTTTTGACAGCTGAAAAGGTGGTGAATGCTGTTATACATGCGTATATATTTTAAACAAGGGTCATTGGTTGAAAAAGATTGGTGATAATGTGAAGTAAGCGATAATTGAACCTTTACTATGACTTTTATTCGGGTATTGTAGATAAAATTACACCGATTGACAAGGTCAATAAAAAATCTGCAAAATTGAAAAAATATAAAATAAAAGCCGCCCGCCCGCCTCGATTTCTAAAAAAATTCGGATGAGAATCTAGCAATTTATTTATTATGGCCTTATTAAAAAGTTATATGAAGAATTAAATTTGGTCTCAAGTCATAAGTCCTTTTGTAAAACGGACCCCAGGAGCAAAGAAAAATATTTTCAAAGAATTCATAAATTTTCACTATATAATGATTAGAGCCCTGCCCTAACACCAGAACATCTGACCCAGGGGCCATGAAATTGACAATTTTGGAAGAGGCATCCTTCCTAATCATAACTATGTTCATAGTTCATTGGTTTAATACCCAGAAACAGAGAAGAAGATTTTTAAAGAATTAATGCATTTTCACTATATAATCAATAGAGCCCCACCCTAACACCAGAAACCCCAACCCAGGGGCCATAAAATTCACAACTTTGGAAGAAACACTCTTGCTCATCATAACTATATACTTAGTTAGTTTGTTTAATACCCAGGAGCAGAGGAGAAGATTTTCAAAGAAATAATGAACTTTTACTATATATGATCTATATAGCCTTACCCTAACACCAGAACCCCTGACCCAGGGGCCATGAATTTCACAATTTTGGTAGAGGAGTCAATGCTGATTACAATCATGCTAACAGTTTGACTGCTTGATGTCCAGGAGTGAAGAAGAGGATTTTTAAAGATTGCACTAATTTTAGTGGTTTTGGCCCCACCCCTCAGGCCCCAGGGGGGGGGGGGGGGTAGGGACCTTGAAATTTAAAATTTTTGTTCCCCTTTACCCATATATGCTGTATACCAAATTTTGTTGAAATTGGTTCAGTGGTTCCAGAGAAGAAGCTAAAAATGGTCAAAAGTTTACAAACGACGTACGAAAACAGATAGCAATAGGTCACCTGAGTTTACTCAGGTGACCTAAAAATTATGATATTCCACTTTTTCTTTCTAAACACTTGCATGTATTGAGGATGATTTTGGTGTGTGGGTGTATCTTGACGAGTTACATATCAATTTTACATATTGTTCCACTTCTCAATGATTTTGAGTAAAATTAAAGCCTTTTTACTTTTTAATGGGAAAACAGATTACACTTGCCAGTATAGGTCAAGTATTGCTAATTAATGCAATACCTTCAGAGTTCAGAATGCTTTTTGCTTATCTAAGATGCCTCTGACAGCCTACTAGCAGGGTTCGACATTCGCGCTCGTCACCTCGCCATTTCCACCCTAAAATGACTTCGGACGACCTGATTTTCAGTCTGGCTCGCCCAAATGACGACCTGGGACAAGTTGGGAATATTTCATAATGATGTTTAATATTTTAAAACTAAACTTCATAAGACCTTGAAAACATATTTTCCTGTAACAAAACCAACCCATTCAACATGTTTAAATTGCAGCCGCGAAGATTTTTTCTCCTGCCAAATCTTCGTTCGATCAATCAGCTGATGCAATTTTTACTAAAAGTCTTTAATAAAGTATTATTTGAGATATAAAAGATGCCAACTTAGTCAAATCACCTTGTTAATATAGATAGTAATAATCATCATTGTAACATCTTGCATTTCCCCTACAACTTTCTGATCATTCATAATGATCATTTTCTGCTGCTACACAGCCAATTTGGGTGTCCACTGTAATGTAACACCTGATTAATTCAGTCCAGGGTTAATTGACCCTATATTTAGGCCTTCATGGCAAGTGAAAATGAATGTTTTAAGCTACAAACTTTAGCATTCTGCATGTCTGATTCTGCTTATATTTTTGTTTGATAAAACACTATAAGACATCTTTAAATTCCAAAAATGTCTGGTTTACATTTTTTAATGCAAAAACACAACTTCTATTAATTATCTTAACAAATTATAAACAATTGCACATTAAGTTTTGTTTCAATTGATATTTTATTTGGACGAGCTGAAATTCATTTGGGCAACCTGTGATCATACCAAGGTTGCCCGAATGGCGAGACCAAATTTTGACGAGTGTCGGACCCTGTACTAGTTAACATCAATACTCAAATGCTTACAAATTGTATAGCAATTTTATTGTACACTCAAGACACAGATGACCTGCGGGGAATTTGTCAGAAATTGTTCTTTACAAAATATTTTTTTAATCCTGATTAAATAACCTGAAAGTATTTTAAATAAACAAGTCATTACATGTATATCTGCAATAATCTTTACATAAAATCTCTCATTTTTTAGGACAGAAAAATCATACAACATATAGCTCAACTGTGTACTGAACAAAATGCAATGTTTGTACAATGTAAGGGGTACATCTATCAATTTGGATCTACTTTCTTTCAATGATACAGTACATGAATGATTCGGGTCAAATGATAAAATGAACAGTCGTCAGTATCTGTATTTTGTTGAGTAGTCTTTGGGTGATATCACCAGACCTCTTCCCTTTCTCGCTCCCCTAAATACAGTCTCCACAATGTCAATAAATTCCTGCACATCTTCCATCGACCAGTTTATTTTATTGTTGTTACCGGTTCCCAAGTCTATCATGATATGTTTG